TTCTGGGCCATATTCATATTTGTGGCATCAGCACTTTGAAGTATTGTTGGCTGAATGAAGAAGTGGAGGAATAAGCAAAGGAAGGGGTGACTGGATACCTTTCCTTTCTTCTCCCCACCTCTCACCAGCTCTTTCCTTTCTCTTCTAATGAGTTCTGGTTCCGGGGCTGGCATGGACACCGACTTTGATCATGAATTAGTGACTTCATCCCCGGGGGACGCAGGCTCCCCTCTCTGTAGGAAGAGATGGAACTGGAGTCTGCTTAGTGGCCTTCTCTTGTTGTGAGGCTCAGGACAGAGGTCTCCTGAGTCACACTCTTCGTCCCTCACAGCCACCCAGCACCCACCCCTGTATCTAGCTGGTGACTTGGCCCTCTCAATCCCACAACTTTCACGTCTCTAAGCCCCACCCCACCTCCTTCTCTAGACCGCTACTGAAATCCAGGCCTCCATTTCTCCCATTCGAGTCACTGATTATCTTCAGGACAGCCCAGAGGTCAGACCTGTTCTCCCAGCCCCCCTTGATTTTTGGGAGGAGGAGGCAGAGACATCTACAGATACTGCCAGGCTACTGGGAGGTCTGGATTTGATATTGGGATCAAAAGTCCTTGAGTTCAAATACTTCCCTCTTCAGATCTTGTGTGTGATTCTCTTTTCTGATTTTCTCAGACTCCCTCCCAGTCTTTGCCATCTGAACTTCCTGGGCAGGTCCCCACTTCCCTATTCACAGAGGCCAAGCTGATGAGGAGGAGGAGGAACGTCCAGTTTCCCAGCACCCGCAAGCCCATGTGTGAGTGGGCTCCGCCTTCGCTTCCTTGCCTTTGCTCTGAGAAGCTGCCAGTTCCTCCACCTGGGCCGTGGCTCCAGGTTCTTCTTGCTTCCTTGGGGACTGCCAGTTTTTATCTCTATGATCGATCAACATGTGCAGTGTCTCCTATCTTTAACCCCGCCCCCACCCCCTGTCCAGTTGTTCTCTTTTTCTCTTACAGCTGGCTTCTTTAGAATGTTGAATTCTCCTGACTTTCCCCACCCGTTCACTGTTCAGCCCCTTAGGTTTCTGCTCCAACTCATCTGAGCTCATCATATTTTCTGCTCCATGACCTCTGCACACACGCCTCTCTGCACACAGCGCGTCACCACGCTACCTGCACGCTTCTCCTGGACATCTGTGGCTCCCGGGGGGCTGGTCTCTCCTGGCCATGACTGTCCTTCGCTGGTTCACCGCTCCAGCCAGCTTTGCCAGGGTTCCATCCTTGGCCCTCTCCTGCTGGGCTGTACTTGTCCTGAGCCACGCATCATCCTGGGGCTTCCCTGCCATGTGCAGTCGTGTGTTGCAGGGACATTCTGAGAACAGAGAAAGGATCTCTCTATTCATTGGGAATCCTCTCGTTTGCGAGCCACAGCAAATCTACCAAGTTAAACCAGCTCAGAGACAAGAGCCACGACCAGGACCTAGATCTCAGATGACTGTAGGGATCAAATGATGTCACACGGTTCCAGAGCTCAGCCCAGTTGCTCTCCGTGCGGTTCCTGCAGCGTCTCCTAGCTTTCTGCTCATGACCCTTACTTTCACTTTCATGTTCCAACTGGCAATCCCAAAAGAGGAGGGGACAGAAAGAGACTGGGGTCAGATCCTGAGTAACATGACTGAAGTCCACCCTGACTTGACCAGGCTGGGTCACTGTGGCCAAGTGCGTGTTAATCAGGACCATTTCTGTTACCACATGGGTTTCCTAAAGGCAGGAGGGAGAAGGACCACTGGCAGTGACAGCATGTGGAACCGCAATACCTCTCTGTTTCACTCATCTTTTTCACAGCTGTGACTGAAACACCTGACCAGAACAATTTTAGAGCAGGAAAAGTTTATTTGGAGCTCAGGGTTTCAGAGGTCTCAATCCACAGAAGGCTGGCTCCATTTCTTGGGTGAGGCAGAACATCATGGCAGAAAAGAGTGGCAGAGGGAAGCAGCTCACATGATGATCAGAAGGGGGGGAGGAGAGAGAGAGAGAGAGAGAGAGAGAGAGAGAGAGAGAGAGAGAGAGAGAGCACTCACCAAATACAAAACATATACCCCAAAGTCATGTCCCCAATGTCCCACCTCCTCCAGCCACACCCCACCTGCCTTCAGTCACCATTCAGTGAATCCCATCAGGGGATTAACTCACTGTTGGGGTTAAGGTTCTCATAACCCATTATCTCTCCTCTGAATCTTCCTGCATTGTCTCACACATGAGCTTTTGGGGGACACCTCATATTCAAACTCTCCCCAAATAAGCACAAGCTGAGACCAGAAATTCCTCTGTAAAGCTGTGTCTCTTCCTTCCCTCAGTCACCGACTTCTCAGATACTCATTCGTCCTTCCTCTGTTCCCCAAGTATTTCGGTGTACTGTGTCCCTTATGTATGATAGTTATTCGTAATGTATCTGCCTTGGCCGCTAAACAGGGCACCTCAAAAGCAGAAGTAAACTGCTTTCAGTTTTCACCCGTAACACCCAAGTGATTCCCTAAGCTTGGCACATTGTGGGTGCTTGATAAGTGGGGCCAGTGTCACAAATGAATAAACAGTAGTATTGTCTATAGAAACACTTAACCCTCCATCACTGGGTTTTCTGGGTCAAGTGGCTGTGATGTGGGAATAGGGAATGTAATTGTGTCGTGTGAGCTGTGGCTTTGTCTGCTACTCTGCTGGACAGAGAGAAGAGGATCTTCATCTGTGGATATTCTGACTCCATTTGAACCCACTCTTCCCTTTTTAATTTCTTCAAGGACACAGAATTCTCTGGCTAAGTGACTCGCTAACCTGGTGGGGAGCTTGGGGCAGGATCCTGCCTATTGTTGTTTGCTGGAAGGGATGGGATTCACGTGCCAGCCCAGAATGGTGTCTCCATATACACTTCCTTTGGTGAGTGTGCAGACATGAAATCAGCTGGTTTTTGGAAAACAAGCTCAATGGCTACCTGGCCAGGTATGGAACTGGATGAGAGGCGCGTGCTGCCAACTGTCAGTGTGGAGCCGTTGCAAGTGTGGTGGTGCTGCTGCAGCTGGATTGCCAAGCCTGGTCACGGTGAGCGACAGCAGTCATGACTCAGCAGCTGCTGACTGGAGGGGATACAGACTCTGGGATGCTAGGACTTGGAACAGTACTCCAGTTTCAGAAGGGATAGCACTAAGTCACTCTTTGAGAAAACATGTCTCTGACCAGTGAGCCTGGCTTGGCTTGAGGAGTACCAGACTGTGCCTCTGATCTCACCTGAAACTTTGCCAGTGGCATGTCTCAAAGTGAGCTACATTTTGCAACTCAAGCAGGCTTAGTCTCACTATATGGAAGAGTTTTTTTTTCTAAACATTTAGGAAAATAATTCGTACCACATAGTTGTTTTCAACAACTATGCCCCAAACTATTCTTCCCATGAGTGGTTTTATAGTTTCTTCAAAGTCACCGTCAGGATTTACCTTTTTCATGTAGCTATTCATCTACTTACTGTACTCTTCTGGCTCTGATATGCTCAATGTGTTAATCTGTTGTTATATTGTTTCATGTATTCCCCATGTTTGTGTACCAGTAAACAGACTCAAAAATCATGCCTAAAACATAATATAAATTTGCTTCTGGCTCTTTTATAACATTCGTGAGTACATCCAGTTTGGGGAAATGGGGGAGGGGCTCTGTTCCAGTCAGTCATTCAGGGACCCAGGCTGATAAAGCTGTGACATCTTCCAACATGGGATTTTCAAAGTAGTTGCAGTTGTCTCCATCCAGTTGACTGGAGGGGAAAGAGAATGGAGGATTGCCCATGGGAAGTTTTTATGAACCAGGCCTGGAAATGAGAGGGCAGGATTTCTGCCCATCTTTCATTGGCTAGAATTCAATCACGTGGGCTCACCCAGCTGCAAGGGAATCTGGGAAATGCAGTCTGTGTGCCCAGGAAGAGGAGAATAATTTTTGGTAAATGCCTGCCAGCCTCTGCCAGTGGATCAAAATAAATATTTTAGGGACTGAGCTTGTAGCTCAGTGGTACAGTGCCTATCTAGCATGGACGAGGCACTGGGTTCCAGCCTCAGCACCACAAAAAATAAACTAAATAAATATTTCATCTTCTTGTCCTGACAGAACAAACTCCCTGTCTCAGGCAACAATCCGAAGCCCCATCCAACTTCTACACCAGGTCCAATTCTATACATGAGGCACAGGTATGGATGAGCTCCCCAAGGTTTGGGGATCTATGAACCGAGGCGAATTATCTTCCTTTCCACTGACAATGCACAGTGGTGGGCACAGTAATTGCAGTGAAACTCCTTGGGAAGTGTGAGAGACACGCAGTAGGCCGCAGGCCGTGGCAGCTATGACGTCTTGCCAGGCAAGCACTGAGAAGGCTCCTTTAGCTTGGCAGTGGAGGATTTCTCTGATTTCATCCTGATTATTCTCTCTGCTAAGAAATCCCCGGCACATTGTTCTCCAAAATTCCAGGCTCCCAGCTCTGTCTGAGAAGCTCTTCTTCTTGTTCAGTATTCCCCATGGCCAGATATGAAAACGGTGTTGGGGAGAACTCTCTCTTTTTTGGGGTTGGACAGCTTTAGTGCTTCACCCACTTCCAGCTCCTGCAACTGTGGAAGCCTAAGTGTCATCTGAAAATTCCAACAAGGTTTTGTTTTATTAATTAAGGCTCCATGGGCTTGTGTTTTCATTGGTCGTAAAAGTTCCTTGAACACTTACTAGGCTTCTCCCTTATTTGTTTACAGTCAATTCACTGTGTCAGTACTAGGATGTAAAATATTTCCCTTCCCATGCCTATTTTATCTTTTTGTTAGTCTCTCTCCCCTACCTCATCAGCTGAAGAATGACCACCTATGGCATGAATTGTCCAATCGTTGCTGAAGGGATGGAGCACTCTGATTAATCAAAAAGACTTAATGAACATTTACTGATTTTTAGTCTTATCTTCCAACTCTTTGGGGTTTAGAAGCAGTAAGCTTTTCCAATACTGCACAGTCCCAAATTCCCACATCTTTTATTCCCTTTCTACTTACAAACTAATTCCTTTTATGAGTTCATCTTTTTTCTTGAAAAACATAGAAGGGGTAAATAGTGAGTTTCTTGGCAAACAGGGAGGAGCAATAGGTCCCTGGCCCTGGCCTGTCAGAGCTACACAGTGACAAGGTACATGGTGGGGTTAGCCTTTTACGTTCTCACAGATGAGAGTTTTTATAAAATGCTTTTTCCTCTTCACAGTACGGATCTCAATGTCTTTGGCTTCCAATAGTTTCATCACCGCCCACCACCCAACCATTGTCAGTGTCACAGTGGCTTAAGTTTTTTGACAGTAGCACCCACCTTCAGGGCATTTAGAATCACTGAAGCAGATGATTCTAAAATGCCTAATGGTAGGGGCACCCTTGCTCATGGAACAGGGTTGCCTGATTCCATGATAATGGGGAAGGGCACCCTACTCCACTCATTCTGGGACTCAGCCGACAAGGGCTCTGTCACTTCTGAGGTCACTTCATCCTCATCTGTCTGGTTCCAGGATCTTGGGGAAGGGGAAGAGGCACAGCAGATCACTGAGTGTGGTTTTCATATGGGCCAGCTCGGGATGGGTCACTTCAGTACTCACTAAACCATGGTTACACTTCACCCCATGGTGGGTGGGAGCTATAACTGTGTCCAAGTAGAAGAGGAAATGGGATCCAGGGTGGCCAACTTGGTCCAGTTTGCTTAGGACTTTCCTGGAGTAGGCACCAAAAGTCCTGGGCAAATAGGTGGAGTTGGTCACCCTAAAAGCCTCCATTGTATTCTTGGTCCTTGGAAAGTCACCGAGTCTTCCATTTTCTTGGTCACCTGGTCTACAGTGACTGCAAACCACATATTAGGGCATGAATTGAATGTGATTAGGAAGCAATGGGACACATTATTTTAATTGAAATACATGTTGTCCCTGGAAATTGGGGTGTGTGTGTGAGATGCAGCCTTGGGGTATCACATCAACTGTCTCTGCCCCTGAGTCAACTATAAAATGTAATGGCAGGGCCAGAGTACCATGAGGAAATGTGACCTATTCAGCAAAAACTCTTAGAATTCAGAAATGTTTTGCCAAAGGGCTCACCTGAGAAGGAACAGTGAAGGGATGGCTCAGATATTATATCACATAAGGCAAATTTTGCTGGAAAACGAAACAAAAATGACTTCATTGTCCTGCAGGCAGCTGCATAGCTGTCCCTGAGGCCTGCTCCCTCTACTTATCTCCAACACGTAGAAGGTATTCAGTAAATGTTCTCTGAACAGACTAACACGTACCACCAGCTAAAGCTGTGTCCACTTTCTCTAATCCAAAAGGTTTTTCAGATTTGTTTTGTTTTGAGGTGAAAGGTGAGCTGCCACTTTAGGCAGAAGCTTGCTTGTTACAGATAGAAGGAAGATGGAAAGCAGGGGTGGAAATTTGTGACCTGTGGGCTGATCGGCTTAGGAGGTGTGCTTTTATTTGGTCTGCACAATGTTCAGAAGACAGTTATTTCCAGACAGAACCCTGAATTTCTACATCTTGAAAATTGAATGTTCTGGCAACAGGATGGTTGAATTCCCACACGGCAGCTGGATGGAACTGAGTGGCAGCTGAACCCTCCTCAGTTGCCAGTCACTGTACCTTCTGTGCCTTACCTCACTCACTTGGGGCTTTCTTGTCATATCTGGTAGACACTGGAGTCTGAAATAACTGGTTTAGCATGCAGATCTACCTTGGAATATCGTAGCAATTTTGCACATTTTTAGAAGCTCCTGAGTCTTCCAGTAGCTACTGATAGGATTCGATAACTGATCCCATAATTTCAGGCCTGCCTGGCATTCCATAGCACTATTTTATGTAGAACTTTTCTCCATTAAGAATTAATAATTTAAGATATATTTTCTTCACCTATAATTGTTTACTTACTTCCACCAACATTATTTTCAAACATGGACAGTTCCCAGTCAATCCCTTCTCTAATGCACATCAATCAAACAGCTGTCATTTGGCATCATTTCTTAGATACAGAAGAAATGGTGCATTCTGCCCACATTCTCTAAAGAACATTTTCTTCCTATGTGCATTTTCATAATAAAGTTTAAACAGCCACTACTATCATCAAATGCTAAGTCAAAAAGCTCTCAGAAAAATCAAGCTGCAATAGCTTTATTCCTAAGAAAAATATAAAATTAAATACATAGCTGGACACACCTGTAATCCCAGCAACTCGGGAGGCTGAGACAAGAGGATCACAACTCAGTGAGACCTTGTTTCAAAATAATTTTTTTTTTTTTTAAACTGGGATGTAGTTCAGAGGGGAGAGCACTGTCCCAGCAGCAAGGCCCTGGGTTCACTTCCAGTACACACTAACACACACACACAAAGAGCCATGTACACACAACTATGAACAAGAGAATGAATAACTCAAAAGCAACAGCTGACACTGTTTAGAGGGTTGCTTTGAACCCATTTCTGTGCTTTCAGCCTTCTGATATTTGCCTTACGAAACTCCTATGGAGACAGAAGGTCCCCATTTGAGGCATGAGGCCACAGATGCCAACAAGTAACTTGCCCATGGTCACTTAATTAGTAACAGACAAAACTAGTATTAAAACCAAATTAATTTGGTCTAAGAAATTAAATGAACAAACACACACATCACACATACACCCTCCTCCCAAAGTTAGAATAAAATCAAGTCACGGTGGAAAGCAGAGGTTCGAAGCATATAGGACAGGATGTAATCCTCATAATCTGATCCAGTCCTTTTACAGAGGAGAAATCAGGCCTGAGGGGTTCTGAACCTCTTCCTGCCCGCAGAGCAGAGTCTCTTAGCTCCCAGTGCTTGTTCCTCCCCGACACCAGTGCAGGTACCCTGCGGCACATTTCAAACCCTGTTACCTAAGAGGGAGAGGAAACTTCATTTTCTCTGGCTCTCTAATTCTGCCACTATTGCTGTCTGAATGGAGCTGAAGTTAACATCTAAAAGCAGTCATGTTGTCAGGCCCTGCAGCTTCAATTACTTGTTTTACACATTTTATACACGTAAGGACCAGCGGTGTCTGTGTTGAAATTCATTTTCATTTCTAATTTTAGTTATAATTAACTTTTATACATTTCTTGCATAATTTAAAAACTGATTCTGGCATGGCATATTCATCACAAAATGAAGAGTAAATTTTTGCTCTTAAAATATGCAAAAAAAATAAAAGCAGTTACTGAACATAGCTAATTTGAAACAGAATACAGACATTCATTAAAATCATGTAAAATTCCTTGGCTTTTCCTTCACTAAACGGCGGTCTGTCCTGCTGCAATTAATGATGTCATGAACACCCACTGTCCTCCAGCATTCCATTCTCCTTAGAAATCTTTCCTGCCCCACAGAACATAAATGTGATACAATCAATTATATAAAATCTACAGGCTAATAAGGCCTAGTTAGGTCTGTAGTAGCAAAACACCTTTTTTGAGTATGATTAAATATGTCAATCACCTAAAATACATATAATAAATGAAAGGCACCTTGGGAACATCTTTCAATTTAATAATTAATTCTGACTTCACATACAGTATTTGGCTACCAAAATTTCAAGGGAGTTTTA